TCTTATTACTAAGCTTAACAGGAGGCATCATTGTTGGAGTGGTGTCACTTGAGATTAATTAGTATAGATGGAGAGATATCCTGCAAGTCTGCTCAAATGAGGTCAAGAATGGTTACGAGAGACTGTCCTTAAGGCGATTAACTGAGTAAGATTCTGAACAACAGCAAGATTCATGGAATGATAGTCATTAGCTTTTGTATACATTATACCATACAGCAAAAACACCACTTAAAAATCTGATAACATTCACTTAAATACTTATTGCTCACGATACAATTTAATTTAAACTGACTGGTTAAAAAAAATTTACTTGTGCAATGTAAAATTAATCTGCATAACTGGGCTTTTATTGTTAAACATACAATTATAAGTATGCAAAATCCCGTATTCTGATCAGCTCCTGATCAGGCTTTTATACTGATCTAAGTAGTATATGTACCTCTGCATGACCAAAGGAAATTGTACAGTGCAGGACTTGCCTTGCATTGTACTGTTCATAGGCTGAGATTGAAACATAAAACTATTTTTTAATGAAGAGTCACCTTCAATATTTTCAATCAATTAGAAATGGCGCACATGTTTTTACACTGTACTGTTGATTAAGGGGACTCTAAAGGATTTAAGTCATCTTTATTAATATTTTTGTGCTAATACTATTGCTGAATTTTAAATAAATGGGAATTTTTTTTTGAAGGGAATAAGGAAAGGTTATGTATATATACAAGTATTTAAAGATGGCAGGATAAGTTGAGAAAATGACCTCTAGGAAAACAGGCAAAGGCCCAGATTTACGTGGAGGAGCAAATTACTGCAAATGCTGGAATGTATACTGAAAACAACAAATGCTCAAGATCGCTGCGGGTTAGGCAGCATCCATCGTGAAAAAGCAAGCTAACATTTCAAGTCTAGATGACTCTTCATCAGAGCTGAAGTGAAGTGTATATTGGGCAGACTGTGCAGGCCATGAAAATGATGGGCTAGGTCCAAACACAAATCCCATCCCAATTTCTAAGAAATCCAATTGCCTGTAGGGAGAGGGTTTGGGGCATGATTCACACAGAAGAGAAACCTGAAATTAGCATTGGGATTTGGACTCAATGTGGAGCTCAAAGAGATCCTATTTTGTCTGCTGCGAAGGTCAAAACACTCATTAAGTGTGGATAAGGGGAGTCTATTTAACTATCATGACCTGAAATTGTTTAAATTCCCAAACTTTTGAAGATCACAAATTAAAAAATATTCTGAAGGTATCAGTAATTATTAAAAACAAATCTGCTGAATTACGTTGTTTCAGGGACTAGTTTGTATAACACCTCTTCTACCAGTTTCAATAGTTGTTTATTAACATTTCCATAAGATTCTTTTATGAATGCATGGCCATTTTCCAAAAAACTATGATGATCTATCAGGGAGTTTGAGTGCACAATTTCATTGACAAGCTAATGAGCAGATTAAATTATTAGCCATCTTTGAGATGGGTTATGAATAGAGGTTTATTTATGCTAGAGATGAAGCACTTAAAATGTTTAAAATACTTTTAATGGGCTTTCATTATCTGTTTTTTTTCAATATATTGCCTGTCACGATATCTGTATTCGAATTTTAGAATTTTATTTTATTTCACTGCTACATGGCTTGAAGTTTACATATGGTGGTTTCTGGGTGAGTTGCCATATATCAGCGTGACATTTAAGGGGTCTTGGGGGGAAAGGATGGGATACAAGCTGAAAGGAGAGCATACACTGTCATGTCGAGTGGGTGGATTGAATAGCCTAAATTGGCAATAAAGTGATGTGGGGGTTATAAGGGGTCATAGGAATGACTACGGGGTCAAAAGGGTGAGGGGGTGCTAGGAATCAGGGCTGAACAGCTTGAAGTTATATAACACCACTGGACCAAAACCTCAGAACTGATGTGGCTGACATACCCCCAGTCTGTTTCACTCAGTCGCCTCAATGACTGCCTGCATTCTCCATCTCACAATAACCAACAGTATGTTGCCTCTCCCAAGTGCAGTTTACAATATTCAGGGGGCTTTTTACCCATGAAACTGGAATTTTTCTGACTTGAGCTACCCACTGTAGTAACAAAAATCAGAATCATAAATGTTATAGCACAGAAGGAGATCATTCAACCCATCATATCTGCACCAGCTCTCCAAATAACATGACTTAGTGCATTCTTCTGCCTTTGCACAGTGTGCCTTCCTATACCCTTTCACATTGATCCATTATGGGTCAACTGAACCTGTTTTCACCACAATTCCAGGCAGTGTATTCCAGTCCCGACCCACTCATTGTGCGCAAAAAGTTTTTGTCTCATTACATTCATTCACTGCCAGATCTGGCTGGGCCACATAAACCACCATTATCTATTGCAGAGTGCAAAGATAAACCACAACTTCTTTGTTCTTCCACAAACAATCTTGTGAAACCCCTCTTTCTTCCACTCTTAACCATGCGTACGTGGAATTTGTGGACTTCCTTGTCGCTGATGTTAAGTGAATCTGCCACTGCCATTCCTTCCCCAGCCCATCAGACGAAACTCCATCAAACGTCCCCCTCCCAAATTTGAATCTGTTTCTAGTTTCTTATCAATTTGCTTCTCCTCCACATACTCTCTCGAAGCTCTTCTTCCCTCAACCCTACTTCCAGTAAATTGTAACCCATCCCAAATTCTTGCCTCATGTTAAGCTGACATTGTTAAATGATTCTCTTTCCTTAAGTTCATCTCCCAAATGCACACACCTCTTCTGGAACTTCATGTTTAAATTCCTCAAATCAATTTTCCCCAGCAGTGTGCCAATATTACTCCTATCAAAGTCACAAATTACATCATGCAGGACTGAGACAAAAGTAAAATATCCCTCATTCTTCTCCACCTCTCTGCAAACTCAGGCATAGTTGACCACAAATCCTTTCCAATGCCTCTCCAAAGTCATCCAGATGGCTGGGTCTGCACTCAACTGCTTTCATTCTTATCTATCTAGTTATAGTCAGAGAATCATTTACAGTGGCTTCTCTTTGAGCTCCTGCATGTTAGGCATCCCAAGATCAATCCTTGGTCCTTGTTTCATCTCTATATGCTGTCTTTTGGCAACATTACACAAAAGCATTGCCAGTTTCCAAATACATCCTGTGACATTTGACTATACTTTATCAACTTGCTCAATTGTTGCATTGTCTCGTCACTAATAGACTGCTTGAATGACATCCAGAATTGGATGAGGAAAAATTTCCTCCCATTAAGTATTAACAAAACTGAATCAATTATGTCCCCACCAAAAATTCTGCTCCTTTGTCATCCTCATCCTTCTTCCTTCCAACTGCCCAAGCTCACAACTTTAACAGCTTCATGCTTGGCACTTAGGGGCTTCTGACCACAGATCACTATGACTGCCTATTTCCACCTCAGTAAAATCATTGGATTCTGACCATACTGCCCCTCCTCTGCTGTTAAGGCCATCATTTATAGAGTCATAGACGTGTAAGGCATGGAAACAGACCCTTCATTCCAACTCCTCCATGCCGACCAGATATTCTAAATTAATCTAGTGCCATCTGCCAGCATTTGCCCATATCTCTTGTGCGTTTGTCACACCTAGTCTTCACTATTCTAATGTACTCTTGACTGGCTTCCTATGTTCTACCCTCTAAATTTGACTCTATCAAAATATCTGCTGCCCACATTCTTAGTTGCACCAAGTACCATTTATCCAAAACCTGTGCTTGGTGACTTGCACCGGCTCTTGGCTAACTGGCACCTTGAAATTATTTTTTTCCCTTTGTTTCTAAATTATTCCATGTCATAATCCCTCCCTCCCTCTTTGATTTCCTTTAAGTCCCATAATGGTCCAACATATCCACATTCCACTAATTCTGGCCTCTTCAAGCTTTGCCAAATTTAATTGCTCCACCATTGATGTCTGCCTTGAGTTGCCTAGGTACCAAAAGCTGGAATACCTTATCCACAAGTCTCCAAATACATCAGGTTCTTCCTTAAAAGCTACCTTTTGAGGAAACTTTTGGTCATTTAATCTAATGTCTATGAAAAGAAACAAAAATCTGTGGATCCAATTGAAACTTTTACTTCACAATGTTCCTGTTGCAGTGCAAAATTCTTTTAACGTGAAGTGTTACATGAACAAGTCATTACTGTTAGTTGTAACTAGTTATGAGCGCCAGGGCTCCCAGTTTGAGACTAATCTAAAATAGCAACTTCAAAGAGCGTGCAAATCAGATGAACTCTTTTCATTTCATTTCTAATTAAAGGCTAGTGGTTATTTGTTCTCGTTCCTGAATTGTTATTTCAAATATGCCCTAATCTGTCTCGTTGATACACGCAGCTAACCTTTGCAACTACACACTCCTCCTTACACGCAACAGGAAGTGTTACATATAACAAGCAGCTCCGCGAAATATTTAATCGCAGCTTAAATATTAAAACCCTGATTTTAACAAGTGAACTTGGCAGGGATATGATTTCGCAGTAGAACTGTCTAGGACGCATTTAGAGAGAAAGCCGATGCCTCCCAGCCCTCTGATTTCATGTCGGTCCCGTTATCAAACAAACCGACTGCAATTATCGCCAAGATAATTTGCTAAAGACTACTCCGTCCTCCATCAGCCGCAATCTCTGCAAGTCCGGTGGGAGGAGAGGAGAAGGGCGAAGAATATATTCCTTTTGATCTGTTTCTTTTCAAGTCTTGCAGAGAGCAAACGGAAATTGCCGTTAAAAGAAAATGTCTTGCGAAATGTAATCTATCAGGGGCTTCTGCGCGTTTAACACATTCAGTAAAAAAAAATTGCTCGCCAGCATCAGTAAATCTCTCTCCAAACCGTCACTGTGGTCCATCAACGCTACAGGGAACATAAATACTGAAAAATAAAGACCAATCACACTTCAAGCCACAAACGCCTTCCAAACTACAATTTTCTTTTGTCACAGATTGAGAAAACACTCGGGAGGATTGTGCAGATAAATTAAGACTCTTCCCTTACCTCTTTCCAGCGTAAGCGGCCGCAGTGTTGTCGCCATATCTGCAGCAGCCTCAGAAAAGGAGGCGGGAGATAGCAGGGAGTGTGAGAAAGGGAGCACTGGCTGGAGTGATGCGGCTCACACTGCAGCCACGAGGGGCTCAGAGAGAGAGAAACAGCGTTCATCAGCCACACACACATCCAACCCCCAATGCACTTCACTCAGGCTGGGCTGTACGAGGCACGTATCATTACTAAGTAGCAATGGAAGTGCGAACGACCTGAGACGCGCTGTTCAGTATCAGCCACTTCCACTGCAACATTACCCGGACGATTAGAAATTTGCAGCAGCAGAGACAAGTTCAGATATTCAACGAAAAGCACAGCTGGCCAGACAGCATCCGAGGAGCAGGAAAGTTCGGCCCGAAACATTGCCTTTCCTCCTCTTCGGATGCTGTCTGACTACGGTGCTTTTCCAGCTCCACATTTACTGACTCTTGCTTCCAGCATCTGCCGTCTTTACGGTCCTCAAGCTCAGATATTCAAATCCGTTTAAAATTTGAAAAGCTTGTGGCAGAATTGCGAGACTGAAGAACTACTAAAATATCTGAAATACTAATTTCCAGACATTACATTTAGTGAATTTACTAAGAGGTCTCCTCACCTTCATCTGCAATAAATAAAGGCAAATGTCTTAATAAAACAAAACGTCTAGTAGGGAAATAAGAAGGAATGACTACCTTCTTAAAGATGGGGGTTTTAAGCATGAGATGTCTACTCAACGCTGAAGAACGCAGACGCCATTCTCCTGGGCCAACCAAGATCCTTATTCAATTGGTTAACGCAGTTCTCCAAGGCAACATCAGCACTTATTTTAATAATTATTATTTAATAATATTGCATCTTGACAACAAATTGGTAGGTCTACCACATATTTGTTTAAAGCTGCACTGCAAATTGCTTAGGCACTTTAATGGGCAGAATCAAACTTTTCTAAACTTAGTTTTCATAAAATATAGGGGCAGAACTTTCAATCATGGCTATGAAAAACAAAATTGCTGGAAAAGCTCAGCGGGTCTGGCAGCATCTGTGAAGAAAAAAAACAGAGTTAACGCTTCGGGTCTGGTGACCCTTCTTCAATGGGACGCTCTGAGGAAGGGTCACCGAACCCGAAACTTTAACTCTGTTTTTCCCTTCACAGATGCTGCCAGATCTGCTGAGCTTTTCCAGCAACTTTGTTTTTGATCCTGATTTACGGCATCCACAGTTCTTTCAGTTTTTATTTCAATCATGGCCAGTATGTCTCTCAGCACTATTCTCCTGCCTTCTCCCTGTAATTGTTCATTCCCTTACTGATCACAAACCTATCAATCTCTGTCCTAAATACACTCATGTATTGACTTATGTTTAAAATCTACCATTTATACACCACCTTTCATGACTGCTGAACATCTCAAAGTGATTTGCTGTGAATGAAGTACTTTTGAACTGTAATTACTGATTGGAAACAGCAGATTTCTGTTTGTCAGGGTTTACTGTGTACATTGTGATAACGACCAGATAACTTACCTTTGTGATGGTCACTAAGGAACAGACATTGGCCTGAACACCATGGATAAGTCCTTGCTCCACAAAATAATGCCATTGTTAAGATATTTGATTTCCATCTAGGAAAGGGCTAGTTTAATGCCAAATCTGAAAGGGGCATGTTCAACAGTGCAGAACTTTCTGGGAATTCACTGGAATGGCAGCCTACATTTTTGTACTCAAGTCCAGGAGTGCAAATTCAAACCACACTTTATCGCTCAATGTAATGCAAGGGGAGGCGATGGCCTATTAGTATTATCGCTGGACTGTTAATCCAAAGACCCAGATAATGTTTTGGGGGCCCAAATCCTACCACGGCAGATGGTGGAATTTGAATTCAATAAATATCTGGAATTAAGAATCTAATGAAGACCATGAATTCATTGTTGATTGTTGGGAAAAACCCATCTGGTTTGCCAACATCCTTTAGGGAAGGAAATTGCCATCCTTACCTGGTCTGGCCTACATGTGACTCCAGATCCACAGCAACAGGGTTGACTTTTAACTGCCCTCTGGGCAATTAGGGATGGGCAATAAATGCTGCCTAACCAGTGATGTCCTCATTCTGTGAATGAATAAAGGATAAAAGTATGGCACTGTCACATAATTCCATATCCATCTGTCCCATTAAGCTTTCCTTAAATCCTTTCAATCTGGTTTCTGCCCATCCATTTTCAAGACTAATGGCTAAGGCCATGAACTTACTGAATGTTAAGGTTGAGTTTAGGACTCATAGAATACCCTAAAAAGCTGATCAAGGTTAAGCAATGGGTTAAATGGGTAATTAGACAGAGAAAACACACAGACAGGTGACAGCAATTCATTGGTTGCAGAGGGCAAACAGGTTGATGAAGCTATTCCCTGAGACTGGAGGTAGCAGCTTCTCTCCTCTTTTTGAACTAAGAGATACAGTGCTAAAAAGCTCTTCTTTTGGTTTTTCTCCATCTGAAAAACGCAATTGTCAGACAAGATGCACCCTTTATCCCTCTGCACCTAATATATATTTCACAAGGCCACTTGCTTGAATAGAATAGAGGTAATGGTAGTTGTTTTTTTCCCTAGGCTGGGGGATTTCAAGATTAGGGGACACATTTTTAAGGCGAGAGGAGAGAAATTTGAAAAAGACATGAGAGGCAAATTTTTTACACGAAGGGTGGTTCACATGTGGAATGAACTTCCAGAGGAAGTGATGAATGTGGGCTCAATTGTAACGTGAGACTGCACTTTCTCACCCCCAAACTGAATTTTGAATTCGATCATACTATGGTCACCAATTCCTAGGGGATCCTTAACTATGATATCATCAATTAATCTCTCCTCATTACACAACACCAAATCTAGAGTAGCCTGCTCCCTGGTTGGTTCCACAACATGCTGCTCAAAGAAACAATCTCTAATACATTCTATGAACTCTGCCGCCAGGCTACCTTTGCCAATTTGATTCTTCCAATCTGTGTGCATGTTAAAATCACCCATGATTATTGCCATACCTTTCTTGCAAGCCTCTAATATTTCCTTATTTATACTGTGCCCCACTGTGGAACCACTGTTTGGAGTCCTATAGATTACTCCTACCAAGTACTTCTTCCCTTTGCTATTTCTTATTTCTATGCAGACTGATTCCACATCTTGATGTCCCGTGCTTATGTTATTTCTCATTACAGTACTGATCCCTTCCTTCACCATCAAAGCTACACCAACTCCTTTTCCTTTCAGTCTATCCCACTGAAATGTTGTGTACCCTGAATTCCTAGACCTGGTCTCCTTGTAACCATGTCTCAGTAATTGTAATCAAATCGTACCCTTTTGCTTCTATTTGCACCATTAACTCGTTAATTTTGTTTCAAACGCTTCGTGCATTTAGATACAAAGCTTTTAAATTTGTTCTACTGTGAAATTTCCTTATTCTTTTATAAATTCTTGGTGCATAAAGACAATCACCTATTCTGTCCCTTATCTTTATTATCTGGTAGCCATCTGCCACATTGCTAACCTGCACTCTTACCTCCTCCTTTAATTTGTGTTTTCTAATTTCCCTTACAACTGAGACCTCCCACCACCCCCTCCCTCTTAATTTAAAGCCCTGTCAATAGCCCTAGTTATGCAATTGGCTAGGACTCTGGTCCTAGCACAATTCAGATAAAGACCATCCCATCGGAACAGGTTCCTTCTTCTTTAGTATTGGTGCCAATGTCCCATGAATTCAAACCCATTTCTCCCACACCAATCTTTAAGCGACGCATTTACCTGCTTAATCTTATTGGCCTTGTGCCAATTAGCTCGTGGCTCAGGTAGTAATCCAGAGATTATTACCTTTTTGGTTCTGCTTTTTAATTTAGCTCCTAGCTGTTCATACTTCCTTAGCAGAACCTCTGTCCTGGTTTTATCTATGTCATTGTTACCTATGTGGACCACGCCAACTGGATCTTTACCCTCCCACTCCAAGTTCCTCTGCAGCCCAGATGAGATATCCCGAACCCGAGCACCAGGTAGGCAACACAACATTAGGGACTCTCGATCCTGGTCACAGAGAACACTGTCTATACCCCTAACTATACTACCTCCAATTACAACTACATTTGTCTTCTTTCCCGCCAACTTGAATGGCTTCCTGCACCATGGTGCTGTGGTCAGTTGGCTCATCTGCGCAGCAGTCCTCATTCCTATCCACACAGGGTTTTCATGGTGGAGGACAGAAGTACCATTCCTACTGGAACAGGCAAGTCAAAGACACTAGGAAGGGTAGAACTTAGAACAATCAACATCAATAGGGAAAAGGTACTCAGCAAACTATTAGGATTGATGGCAGACAAGTCCCCCAGGCTGCTGACCTGTTAAAGGTGTTAAAGGAAGTGACGGTGGAGATAGTGAATCCATTGGTAACAATATTTCAAAATTCCCTGGATACAGGAAAGATTCAAGTAGATTGGAAAAATGCTAATATAACATCCTTATTCAAAAAGGGAGGGAGGCAATATGTGGGAAATTACAGTCCACTTAGCTTAACATCTGTTGATGGCAAAGTTTTAGAATCAATTATCAAGGAAGCAATATGAGGACATTTGGAAAGTCAAAACACTATCCATCAGAGTCAGCATGGGCAAATCATGTTTGATTAATTTGCTCGAGTTCTTCAGAGATGTAACAAGCAAAGTGGATAATGGGGATCCTGTAAATGTAATATCTGAACTTCCAGAAGGTGCTTGATAAGGTGCTGTACAAAATTTTAATTCACCAGGTTGGATCATATGGGCTTGGGTAATTTATTAGCTTGGTTGGGTGACTGGCTGATGGACAGAAGACAGTGACAGTCCTTGTTCATGAGTCACAGAAAACTAGCATGCAGGTACAATGGATAATAAAGAAAGCAAACGGAATGTTGGTTTTTATAGCTAAAGGAATAGAATATACAGGTAAGGAAGTATTGTTGCAATTACACAAGACATTGGTGACACCGTACCTGAAGTACTGAGTATAGTTTTGGTCCCCTTATCTGAGGAAAGATATAGTGGCATTGAAGGCAGTTCAGAGGAGGTTCAGTAGAT